CGTCACGAGGGCTCCGCCAGCATGCTTCCCGGCAAGACTTGAATCTTGAGCTTCATCTTTTCTCACCACCCGACCAGTCGCTGTTTCCCACCTTCCTGTTGTCGCCGCGCGGGGTAGGTGTTGAATGCGGACCCGTGGTGCAGGTCGCCATATAGCGTCCGGTAAGCTCCGACTCAGAAGTGATCGAGCACCGACTTCTTGCTCTCCTCCTTCGCCTTGAACACTCGTATCGTCGACACCTCGCTCGCGGTTCCCCCTCTGTTGTTGGATTTTTATGTACCATCCGCCACTCCCGGCACGCGCCCTTCATCCGGGGGCGCCCAATCGTCTTCATCGACGTCTGGCCGGTCTTGAGGTCCTTTCCCGCGAGCGGCGATCCGGTCTGCAGTGCCAGACCCTCGAGCAGCCGGAACACGTCGGCACTCATATAATCGGCGCCGCAGCGTTGGCGTAGGTGAATCCCTATCGGCTTTAGGGCGGCGTATAATCGAGAAGAAAGATCAGGATGCTCGACTGTATGGCCGGGTCGCGCTCGAGCTCGAAAGACACGCTCGAACGCGTCGAGCGACTGATGGACCGGCGCCTCCTCCATGTACACCTCGGTGCTGCCGCACCAGACCAGCACCAGCCGCTCCACATGGCAGTGAATGCCCCTGAACCGGCGGCTGTCGCCCGGAGCTACGCAATCGGCGACGAAAGAAAATCGCGCTGGTGGAGCCGTCTTCACGTTCGGGCCGTCGAGCCTCTTGACGTAGGCCTGAATCACGATAGACCGCTGCCAAGGCATGTAGTAGCGCCTCAAGCTCGGGCGGCCCTCATCGAGCAGCTCACTCCCCGACGCAGCACCGCGGCGTTGCGCGCCGCCTCGTAGCAGTTGTCCTCGAAGATGTCCCAGCCGCCGAAAACGAGATCGTCGAGGGTGGCGAGCGGGACGAAGTCCTGATCAGGCGACGCAGCCCTCGTCACGTCATTGCCTGAGCCGGATCGTGCCCATCTGCGTGAGCGAGCACCGGCTGGCAGCGGCGTAGTCCCCTGAACGGATGGAGCGTTTATAAGAGACACCGGCGATGATGAAGGCGTGGCTGACGGCGCCGAGACCGGCGAGCAGAATTCCAAGGCGCCCGTGGCCGAGCAGATCTGCGGGAGCCCTGCACCGCGGCGGCAGACTATATCAGGTGTTTTTGAGCCTTTGGCATTCACTCCTGTCGGCTGGAGCCCGTACGGACCTGAGAAGACCGACCTGAGAATGCGTTCCGCGGCGCGCTGCGGGTCGCCGTTCGCGGATTGGACGAGGCACAGTGTGTCATCAAGCTGAGAGAGTCGAGGTCACGCGACGCGCGAAGTTGTCGATGGTCGGTCTCAAGCTCGGCGCGTCCGTGCTGCCAGCAGACGGCAAGACCGGAACGATCACTGATCGCGGAGCTCGCCAGGGTGGCCGGGATCAGCGGCGAAGCCGGCGTCGTCGCGGAGACGGACGCCGAGAATGACGACACGGTGGGAGAGCGCGCGCGCGGAGCGCGCCGGGTGGCTGGTGGAGGCCAGACGGCCCGGACATCGGCGCGCTGCCCTGCGATCCCGAGTCGTTCGACGTGGTCGTGGCGCCCGACCTGATCGGAGCTAGACATCGCGACATGAACGAAAACGTCACTGTAGTCACTACCAGACTGTGCTCAAGGTGCTGATGCGTCCGACGTGCGTTTGCGGCGTACGTGATCGAGGGCGGCCAGCGGGACGGCATCGGCGGCCTCTTCTCGCAGCGGGCACTCGACCGGACCTACCTGTTGAACGGCGGCGCCGCCGGCGCTCTCGAGGCGGAAGGATTCCGGGCGTGCGCTCCATTCGTCGTCCGAACAGGAGGCAGAGCTTCTTCGAGGAACGAAATATGAAGTGAGCGGAAAAGAAACAGATGTCGTACAGAAGACCAGCCCGTCGCGAGACCACGCGTTTCGCGCAGCCGCGCGCCATAATGAGTCTATTCGGCGGACGAGGTCGCGCATAGCGATCCAGGCAGAGGTCGATACGACGGGAACGATAGACGACGTGGTCCGGCGCCTGATGGTGCCGCGGGGTGAGACAAGGGGACCAGTACGCAACGCTGGATAATAACGGCGTAGTTCGTCGCGCAGGCCAGACGAAGGAGTGAAACGCATACGTCACAGGTCGGAGTAGCAGCGTGCGACGCGCTCGTGCGAGCCGCGGGATACTCGCCGCCCGCCACGACCCGTTCCGTCTTCGGCGGCGCCCTCCTCGACCGGGACCTCGGAGACTCGCCGTCCGGCGCCGTCTCGGTCGCGATGTCGACCCTGGCCCACGGCATGGTCATCCCGCTCCTGGTCATGCTGACCGCAGTGCAGATGACGACGGCCTCCTCGAGCCGCCGATACCGCGAATCGCCCCCTCTCGCGCCGGTTTCGTGGCCGTCCCGGAACCCGTAGGAGGTGTCTTCTGATATGACCTGCGGCAGCCGCTGCCGCCGCCGCGTGCGGAGCGGCGCGGCGAGAGCCGCACCAGCAGTCCCGTTCCGCAAGCGTCGAAGACCGGTCGCAGTCGTGGAACCGGTCGAGGAACCGCGTCCTCCCGAGCCGCTGGAGCGCGAGGCGCTGCCCCGCATCGTGGCGCCGCTGATGGCGATGCGCGCCGACCGCCGGGATCTCCGCGGCCTGCTCGAGCCCCCACCGGCTCCGGCCACGACCGGAGCGCCATCGAGCGGCCCCGGCCGGGACGGCGGCGTCGGCGCGTGAGCCGGGCGCGGCGTCGGCCCGGGTTCGGGAGCACGTGCGTCCGGCCCCGGCGCGGTCGCGGAGACGGGACGGCGACCTCAATACCGCTGGGAAGCGCATATATTTTCACCGCCGCGTATCCGGCGCGAGGTCAAGCCGGTCTATACCGCGGACGCGCTGCGGCGTGAAATCGAAGGCGACGTCGTTCTGGAGGTCGTGGTCCTCGCGAGCGGCGAGGTGGGCGAAGTCCGGGTCGTCCGCAGCCTCGGTCACGGGCTCGACGAGACCGCGGTGGCGGCGATGCGCCAGTGGCGTTTCCATCCGGCCCGGAGGCAGGGTGTCACGGTCGACGTCGTGGTCGAAGTGGCGATGGAGTTCAGGCTGCGGTAAAGGAACGATGGTCGAGATGACGCTGATCGCCGTGACCCTGCTGTCGCTGTTCCTGGCCATCGCCATGGGCGTGGTGACGTGGCGGCTCGTGCAGGAAGAGCGGCGGCGGTCGGCCGCGCGGCTGGCCGCGCTCGCGGCTGAGTTGAGAAGCGGCGAGGGATGGTCCGCGAGCGATGTGCCGGGACCGTTCGAGCCGGAGCCCGCGGCGGACGATGGCGCGGCAAGCGAGCCCGGGGCCGGGAGCGGCGGGCTGTTCTCTTCTCCCGTGCCGTCGACGCCGGCGGACTGGGGGCGCTTCGCCGCCCTCGCGGGAGCGGCGGGCGTCGTACTCGCCGTGGTGGCAACCGTGTTCCTGCTGTCCGAACCCGGTGCCGGTGACGCGGACGAGCCACTGGACGATGCCCGTCCGCCGCTCGATCTGATCGCGCTGCGGCACGCGGCCGAGGGACCGTTTCTCGACATCAGCGGGTCGGTTCGCAACCCGGCGGCGGTCGACGCCGAGCGGCTGTCGGTCGTCGCGATGGCATTCGATGCGGCCGGCACGCTGGTGGCCACCCGCCGGACACCCGTGGATACTCCCTCGCTGCCGCCCGGCGCCGACTCCCCGTTCACGATTCGCCTGCTGGCCGCCGGCATCAACCGGTACCGGATCAGCTTCCTTCTGGACGAAACGACGATTCCGCATATCGATCGCCGCTCGGCCGTGCAACCTCCGATCCCCGTGGGAGATGCGTCATGAAGCACGCGTGCGCCGGCATCCGGATTCCATCTCTTCTGTTGGCCGTCGCGGTCATGGCGCCCGCAATAGCCGCCGCCCAGGACACCGACCGTCCGGCGTTCCGGTTCCGCACCGGCGTCGACCTGATCAACGTGAGCGCAACCGTGACCGACCGGCGCGGTCGCTTCGTGTCCGGTCTGGACAAGGACGACTTCCTCGTCTACGAGGACGGCGTGCCGCAGACCCTCACCCACTTCAGCCGCGAGCGGGTACCGGTCAGCCTCGGCATCGTGCTCGACACGAGCGGCAGCATGGACGGCGAGCGGATGGCCGCCGCGCGGAGCGCCCTCGACCGCTTCCTGTTCGACCTGCTCGGCCCGGACGACGAGTTCTTCCTGTACCGGTTCAACTACCAGCCGCGGCTCGTGCACGACTGGACCAACGACCCCGAACGGGTGAGCCGCGCCCTCGGCGGCATCCGTCCCCGCGGGGGCACCGCGCTCTACGATGCGGTGGCCGACGCCGTGGTGCTGGCGGAACAGGGCCGGCACCGCAAGAAGGCGGTGGTCGTCATCTCGGACGGCAACGACACCAACAGCGAGATTCGTGTCCGCGACCTGCAGCGTTGATTCGCGAGACCGAGGTCATGGTCTACGCCATCGGCATCGACAGCCGGGGACCGTCGCGGTACGGCGGGGGCCGGCCGCCGGCGCCGCGGACGCGCCCGCCGGTGCGGATCCCCTTCCCGATTCCCGGCGGCGGCGGGAGGGGACGCCTGCCGATCCCGCCGACGACCCGTGTGCCCGGGGGCGGAGCGGTGTTCGGCGCCGGCGACCGGGTCAACGCGTCCGCGCTGCGCGACCTGACCGACGACAGCGGCGGCCGGACGGAGGTCATCCGCGACGCCGACGACCTCGACGCCGCCACCGCGGGGATCGCCGACGAGCTCAGCCGGCAGTACTTCCTCGCCTACCCGGCGCCGGGCCACGCAGACGGACGCTGGCACGAGATAGAGGTCGAGATCCGGGACTCGCGGCTTCGCGTCCGGGCGCGGCGGGGCTATATCGCCACACCGTAACCGGCCAGCCCCGACGCCGCGGCGTCAGCCGGGAATCCGGCCGACGCACGGGAGCCCGGCCGCGATCCGACCGGGTGGTACACTCGCACGCCCGATGGATGCCAGCAACACCGTCTTCCTGATCGACGGCAGCTCCCAGATGTACCGTGCGTTCCACGCGATACGGGGGCTGAGCGCGCCGGACGGCCGGCCGACGAACGCCGTCTTCGGTTTCGTCACGATGCTGCGCAAGCTCATCGCCGACCATCGGCCGGCCCTGATTGCCGCCGCCTTCGACGTCCGGGGACCGACCTTCCGGAACGAGCTCGCGGCCGACTACAAGGCGAACCGGGCGCCGATGCCGCCCGACCTGCGCGAGCAGGTCCCGCATGTGCACGAGGCGTGCGAGGCGCTCGGCGTGCCGGTGCTCACGTACGAGACGTTCGAGGCCGACGACGTCATCGGGACGCTCGTCGGGCAGGCGCGCGCGGCCGGGTTCGAGGTGGCGATCGTCACCGGCGACAAGGACTTCTTCCAGCTCGTCGGCGACGGCGTGTCCGTCTTCAACCCGCGCGACCCCGGCACGTGGTACGACGCCGGCGGCGTGCAGGCGAAGTTCGGCGTCGGGCCCGAGCAGGTGATCGACGTCCTGGCCCTGATGGGCGACGCCGTCGACAACGTGAAGGGCGTCCCCGGCATCGGCGAGAAGGGCGCCCGCGAGCTGATCGCGGCGCACGGCTCCCTCGATGCACTGCTGGAGCACACGGCGGACGTCAAGAAGAAGAGACAACGAACGGCGCTCGAGCAGCACGCGGACGAGGCGCGCAGGAGCCGCGAGCTGGTCACCATCCGGACGGACGTGCCGGTCCCGTTCGAGCCGGACAAGCTCCGCTACCGCGGCCCGTCACCCGACCATTGCTTCACGCTCTTCACGGCGCTCGGCTTCCGGACCCTCGTGCCCGAGTACGCGCCGACGGCAACGACCGTCGAAAAGGACTACGGCGTGGTGCGGTCCGAATCGGAACTCGCGGCGCTGCTCGACGCCATCGGGCGCGCCGGGCGGGTCGGCCTCGCGTAGTGGCCGGGGAGTCGGACGCGATGCGCGCCGACCTCGTCGGAATCGCGCTCTCGGCCGGTCCGGGTCATGCGCGCTACGTGGCGCTCGGACACCGGACGCTGGGGGCCGATGCCGGCCTCGGGCGCGAGGCGTTGCTCGCCGCGCTGGCGAAGCCGCTGGCCGACGCGGCGGTGGCGAAGGTGGGCCACGACCTCAAGCAGGCCACTCTCGTCCTCGGCCGCCACGGCGTCCCCTGGCGGGGCTCGACGTCGATACGCTGCTCGCCAGCTATCTCCTCGACGCCACCCGGTCGGGCATGACCTGGGCGACCTCGCCCTGGAGGCTGTCGGCTACAAGGCGATCACCCCCGAGGAGGTGTTCGGCAAGGGAGCGAAGGCGCTCGGCCCCGCCGACGTGCCGGTCGACGCGGTGGTCGAGTACGCCGGCGAACGAAGCGACTTGGCGCTGCAGGTCGCCGAGGGTCAGCGCGCCCAACTCGTCCGCGACGGGCTCGAGCCGCTCTACCGCGACCTCGAGCTGCCGCTCGTGCCGGTGCTGGCCGACCTGGAGCGCGCCGGCGTGCGGCTCGACGTCGATGCACTGGCCGTGCAGTCGGTGGCGATGGACAAGCAGTTGTCGGCGCTGCAGGCCGAGATCCACGCTCTCGCCGGCGAACCCTTCAACATCAACTCGCCGCGGCAGCTCTCGACCATACTCTTCGACAAGCTGCAGCTCCCGTCCCGGAAGCGCACCGGCAAGACGAAGGCGGCCTCCACGTCGGTCGACGTGCTCGAAGAGCTCGCCCTCGTCCACGAGCTGCCGCGGAGAGTGTTGGAGTGGCGCAGCCTCGCGAAGCTCAAGGGGACCTACGTCGACGCGCTGCCGCAGCTCGTCAATCCCGAGACCGGACGGCTGCACACGTCGTTCAACCAGGCGGTGGCGGCGACCGGGCGGCTGAGCAGCCGCGATCCGAACCTGCAGAACATCCCGATCCGGACCGCCGTCGGCCGCGAGATCCGCGGCGCCTTCACCGCACCGCCGGGGGCGGTCCTGATCTCCGCCGACTACTCGCAGATCGAGCTGCGGGTGCTGGCCCACCTCTCCGGCGACCCGAACCTGACCGGCGCCTTCGAGCGGGGCGAGGACATCCACGCTCAGACCGCGTTCAAGGTCTTCGGAGCCGACAGCGGACTCGACCCGCACGAGCTGCGGCGGCGGGCCAAGATCGTCAACTACGCCCTGCTCTACGGCAAGACCGCCTTCACCCTGTCGTATAGGACATTTGCATCGCGCGGTCGCGCCAAGCGCACGAGAGCGATTTCATCGATCGCTTTATCTCGAGGTGCTTCCAAGCCCGTCCGCGCTCTTACCTGTGAGCAAGGACGCTCTCTATCGACCGGCGGCTGAGATCTGTCGTCGTGTATCTCTATCGATGTTCGATGCCTGCGCGGCGCGTGCTCCTTTTGAGATTCGCGAGCCGCAACGGCTCAGCTCGAGCGCGCGAGTGGATCGCGCGCTTTCTGGCGGTTTATGTTATGGTGAATCATGTCCCATCAGGGCAGCGCATGGGCGCCATCCATGAAGCGGGCGATGATCCGACGGTGCACGCCGAGCCCGCCACCCGATCGCTACGGATTGATCCTGACGGCCACGAAGAGCTGCTGTCCGAGCTCGAGTCGCACGCGCGGAGGTGACGAGCTGAGGTCTCGATACGATAGATGGGAGTCCGCCGCTCAAGCGTCGGTCCCCCTGACGTCGATTGGCGCGTGTTTACATCGCCGAGACTGAAAAGAGCGAAGGGCGGACGAGGCTGCGTAGACGGGCCGAGACTCAGGTCGGATAAGCACCAGCCGTCCGCTGTCTGCGATTACTGCCTAACGCATGAAGGTCAGCGTCCCCATATCGACGACCGGCTCCACACACGAGGCGTTGGTCATCCAGTCTCCTTCCATCGTGGTCTCGTCGAAGGACGCGGTCACCGCGATAGCACAGCCCTCGGGAAAATAGTCCGGGAACCCTTCGATCGCGAACGCGAGCTCCGTGCTCATATTGTCCACGGTTCCCGTCACGGCGCCGCCAAGCGGGACTTCCGAAGGTGCGCCGGGCACGGGAGGCAGCCTGACCGTAGCCGTCCAGCTACCTGTCACCGTCGTTCCATCATGGGTAAGGTCCACGCTGGCGTTGTCACCGGAGATGAGCTCGCCCTCGAACGAACCGGACCAGGTTCCCGTGACCGTAACCGTAACCGAACCGGATCCGGATCCGGATCCGGATCCGTGTCGTCGTCGGCGCGGTCGGCGTATCGTCGTCGCCGCAGCCGGCGGCCAGCAGTGCAAAGCAGAGAATGATCGCCCAGCGGGCGGGGTTGCTCTTCAACATGAGTCGTGCCGATACCTTTCAATCGCCGGCGCACCGCGAGCCGGCATTCGCCGGCCCACCGCGCGCCGGCAGTGTGACGCCGCTCACAGACTGAGCGGCGCCGTGTTGAGCAGTCCCGTACTGTCGCCGAGCTGCTCGGCCGGCACCCCGGCCTTGTCGAGCACCGTCAACAGCAGGTTCGCATACGGCGTGTCCGCCGCATAGGCGCGGTGCCGCCCGCCGCGCAGCCGTCCGCCGCCGCCGCCCGCCACGAGGCACGGCAGGTTCGTGTGCTCGTGGAGGTTGCCGTTCCCGATGCCGCCGCCGTAGACGATCATCGAGTGATCCAGAAGGTTGCCGTCGCCGTCCGGCGTCTCGCGCAGCTTGCCGAGCAGATAGGAAAGCACCTGGATGTGATACGTGTCGATCTTCGACTTCTTGGCGATGTACTCGGGGTCGTTACGGTGATGCGAGACCGTGTGGTGCTGATCCGGCACCCCGATCTGCGGGTACGGCCGCGGGCTCGCCTCGCGCGCCATCATGAGCGTGAACACCCGCGTGACGTCGGCCTGGAACGCCAGCACCTGCAGGTCGAACATCAGCTTCGCATGGTCCTCGAACTCCTCGGGGATGTCGACCGGCCGCTCCGGCAGCTCGACGAACGACTCGTGGCCCCGCGACTCCGAGCGCTGGACCCGCTGCTCGATGTCGCGCACCGCGTCGAGATACTCGTCCAGCTTGTTGCGATCGCTCGGGCCGAGCGTTCCCCCCAACCGTGCCACTTCCGCGGTCACCGAGTCCAGGATGCTTCCGGTCTGCCGAACCACCGCAAGGCGGTCGGCGGCGCTGCCGCCCTCTCCGAACAGCCGCTCGAAGACGACGCGCGGATGCGCTTCCATGTCGAGCGGGGTGGTCTCGTTGCGCCACGAGATCGTGTTCGAGTAGAAGCAGTCGCCGGTGTCGCAGGCGATGGCGGTCGGCTGCTCCAGGGCCAGCTCGAGTGACGGCAGCGGCGTCTCCTTGCCGAACTCGCGCGCCGCGATCTGATCCGCCGTAGTTCCCAGCTTGATGGCGGTCGGCCCCTGGCGCCCGCGGCGCTCCCAGGCGTGGACGCCGCTCAACCAGACCGCGGTCGCCCGCGGGTGATCCCCGTTGCCGTCGCCGAACGAGTCGGCCTGCCGGTGGGCCAGACCGCTCAGGACCAGCATCTGGTCCCGGAACGGCTCGAGCGGGCTCAGAATCGGTGAGAAGTCGAATCCGCGTCCGGTCTGCGCCGGCACCCACCGCTCCTGGATGACCCCGTTCGGAACGTAGATGAATCCCAGCCGGCGGGCCGGCGCCGCGGCGGCGCGCGCCGCCGATGACGCGGCCGGCACCATGGCGTCGAGGAACGGCAGGGCCAGCGTGGCGCCGACGCCGCGCAGGAACGTCCGCCGGGGCAGGGCTTTCTGCATGATGATCATGATTGCGACATCCTCATCTGAAACGGCGTGCTCCGAACGATGCCCAGGACGATGGACGAGAACCGGAAGTCGTTCTGCGCCGCGTCGTGCACGATGGCGCGGACCGCCGGCATGTCGTACGACTCGACGTTGCGGCCGAGCGCGTAGGTCAGCAGCTTCTCGGTGACGGTGGCGACGAACCGCTGCGGGTCGCGCAGCAACGCCTGCCGCATCCCCGCCGGTCCCTCGAACGAGGTGCCGTCAGGCAGAATGCCGGAGGCGTCGATCGCGTCGTTCGACTCGCTCCGCGTGCGCCAGCGGCCGACGCGTCGAAGTTCTCGAGGGCGAAGCCGAGCGGGTCCATCTGGGCGTGGCAGCTTGCGCAGGCCGGATTCGCCCGATGCCGCTCCATCGCGGCCCGCATCGACAGCGCCGCGCCGTCGTCGGTCGTCTCCGCGAGGGCGGGAATGTCCGGCGGCGGGGGGCGGCGGCGGCGACGCCAGCAGATTCTCCAGGATCCACTTGCCGCGCAGCACCGGCGAGGTGCGCGTCGCATAGGAGGTAAGGTCAGGATGCCGCCCTGGCCCAGCAGTCCGCGGCGCGCGGTGCCGTCCAGCGACACGCGCCGGAAGTGGCTGCCGTAGACGTGGGGCATCCCCGTAGTGCTTCGCGAGCCGCTCGTTGACGAAGCTGTAGTCGGCGGTCAGCAGCTCGCCGACGCTCCGGTCCTCACGCAGCACGCTGTCCATGAACAGCTCGGTCTCGCGCTGAAACGCCTGCCGGAGGTTCTCGTCGAAGCCGGGGAAGAAGCCGGGGTCCGGCTCCTTGGCCTCGACGTCGCGCAAGTAGAGCCACTGCTCGGCGAAATTGTCGACGAGCGCGCGCGAGCGGCGGTCGGCCAGCATGCGCTGCACCTGCGCCTCCAGCACCGCCGGGTCGCTGAGGGTGCCGTCGATCGCGCGGTCGAGCAACTCGTCGTCGGGGATGCTGCTCCAGAGGAAGAACGACAGGCGCGAGGCCAGCTCCAGGTCACCGACGCGATAAGGCGCGCCGGGCGCAACGTCGGCCGGGTCGCGCTCGATGCGGAAGAGGAACTCGGGGCTGACCAGCAGCCGCTCCAGGGCGCGCTGAATGCCGCGATCGAAACCGCCCGCGGCGCGACCCTCCTCGTAGAACGGGAGCAGCAGGTCGAGATCGTCGCGGTCACCGGGCGGCGGTACGCGCGGCGGGCCAGGGTCGACAGGATCTCCCGCACGCAGGGCTCCGCCGCCACGGCGCCGCCACGCGGCCGGCAAGTGAAGATACGCTCCCTGCTCGGCGTGTCGCCCGCGCCGTCGACCCCGTAGGGACCGCTGAGCGTCACCGTGGAGATGGCCGGCTCGCGCCGCTGCCCGCGCCGCGACGCGCGCACGAGGCTCTCGTGCTGCGCGCCGGTCTTCTGCAGGAAGGCCACCGCAATCTCCCGCGGCCCCCCGCCGAGCGGCACCCGGACGTCCACCGGCGGCTCCGCCTCGAACGTGAATACGCCGCTCGCCCCTCGCACCAGCGGCCGGCCGCCGATGGTGAAGAGGCCGACGCGTTCGCCGTCGACGCTCACCTCCACCTCGTGCTCCTCGCGCGCGGCCTGGGCGAACTCGACGGTCAGGACGTACTCGCCGGCCGCCGGCAGGTGACTGCGGATCACCGTCCCGCCCGCGTGCCGAGCGGCAGCCCTCCAGGTGGCCGTCCTGAATCAGGTCGCGGTCGAGCTGGTGGCGGTCGACGATCGGCGGCATGCTCGTATCGCCGACCGCGAGCCGGCTGATCTTGCGCGCCGCGGCCAGATATCGCTCCAGCGTCGACGGCGAAACGAACAGCAGCTCGGCGAGATTGTCGAAGCCGCTCGTGACGTTGTCCGCCGGCAGCAGCGTCGAGACGTCGAACTCCTTCGGGAGATTGTCGAGCGCCAGCAGATCGCGCACCGCGTTCTGGTACTCGGTGCGGCTGAGGCGGTGCAGCGCCGGCCGCCGGCCCGGATTGGGCGCGTCGGCGCGGCCCGGTCGAGCTCCGTCTCCAACCAGCCGATGACCTCGTCGTACGTGGCGTCGTCGGGACGCGGACGCCCGACCGGCGGCATCGTGCGCGCCTCCAGCTTGCGGATGACGCGCTCCCACGCGTCGGGCTCGCCGGCCACGTGGCTCGGATCGAGCGCATCGAGCGCGAGGCCGGCGATGCGCAACTGCGAAACCTGCATCGACGGGGCCGTGCCGCGCCCGTTCACGATGCGCTCGTTGTGGCAGGTGACGCAGTACCGGTCGAGCGTCGCCTCCACGGCCGCGGCGGTCGCCTCGCCCTCCGCCGGAGGCGCGGACATCGCCGGCGCCGCGGCGAGCACGCAGCCCGATGCCACCGCCAGCACGACGCCCCGGACCCGGCGCACGGCCGGGCTGTCTCGCCGCGTCATCATCACATCACCCATCGGCATCATTTCTGTAAGCGTGCGGTCGGTTCACGACGCGTATTTCATCGGGAGATCAGCCCCAACCGGCCAGCGGACGAACGGACACAAAGCCGCGCGCGGGCGCGTACCCGGAGAATTCCGCCCAGCTCCCTGTCGGTACCCGCCCTTTGTACGCTGCTCGCCGGGTGTTGTCAACGCAGACGCCACGCGATAGCATCCGCAATTACCCGTGTCCGGTCCTCCAACCATGCCTGGAAAGGGACGTCTCATGCGCGAAGAACGGGGCTGCCGGCGGCCGATGCTTGTCCTAGCCACACTCGTCGCCGCCGCGATCACCCTGCCCTGCGCCGCCGCGGCGGCCGACACGCCGCTGATGGAAGCGGCCAGATCGGGCGACCCCGCCCGCGTCGCCGCTCTGCTGGATCAGGGCGCCGACGCTCGGGCCGCCGAGCCGGACGGCACCACCGCACTGCACTGGGCGGCGCGCGTCGCAGCGGCGGAGGTCGTCGAGCACCTGCTCGCGGCCGGGGCCGACCCGGAGCGGGCGAACCGCTACGGCATCACCCCCCTGGCGCTCGCGGCGGAGAGCGGCGAGCCGGCCATCGTCGGCGCGCTGCTGGCGGCCGGGGCCGACCCCAACACCGCCACCCCCGCGGGCGAAACCGTTCTGATGGTAGCCGCTCGGACCGGGCGCGTCCCGGTCCTCGATCGGCTGCTCGCCGCCGGCGCGACGGTCGACGCCACCGAGAGCTGGCGGGACCAGACCGCGCTCATGTGGGCCGCCGCCGAGAACAACGCCGATGCGGTCCGGCGGCTGCTCGCGGCCGGGGCCGGCGTCGAGGCGCGCTCGGGCGCCGGGCTGACTCCGCTGCTGTTCGCGGTGCGGGAGGGCCATATCGACGCGGTCCGGGCCCTGCTGAACGGCGGCGCCGACGTCAACGCCGGGGTGAACAACACGACGGCAAGCACCGGCTCGTACACACCGGCCGCAACCGGCCATACGACGCCGCTCGCGCTGGCCATCGTCAACGCCCACTACGAGTTGGCCGCGACCCTGCTCGAGGCGGGAGCCGATTCGAACGCCTATGACGCGCGCGGTACGTTACTGCACGCGCTGGCCTGGATCCGCCGCCCCGGCTCGGGCCGCCCGCCGGCGCCAACGGGGAACCTGGACAGCCTCTACTTGGCGCGGCGACTGCTCGCGCAGGGCGCCAATCCCAACGTGCGCATCGCGTGGCGGGAGATCCCGTTCGAGGTGGATCTGGGCATCGTCAAGCCGCCGCCGAACATCTCGGTGGGCCGCAACTTCATCAGCTTCGTCGGCGCCACGCCGTTCTACCTGGCCGCCAAGCACGCGGACCTGGAGCTGATGAAGCTGCTGGTGGACTACGGCGCCGACCCGCTGACGCCGACCGGGCAGGGCGTGGACTCCGCTGATGGCGGCGGCCGGCCTGGGGTTCTGGGACGGCGAGAGTCCGGGTCCGCTCAACGGCACCCCCGAGCGCGTGCGGCTCGAGGCACTGAAGATGACCCTCGCCCTCGGCAACGACCTGCATGCGGTTGCCGACTTCGGCGACACGGAGATCGAAGGCGACGGGGTGGACCTGCTGCTGCGCCACCCGCTGAACCTGCTGGAGCTGGACGCGCAGCGCGACCGGGGCGACATGCGCTGGGGCGGCTGCACGGCGCTGCACGGCGCCGCGATGATGGGCTCGAACCTGATCGTCCAGTACCTGATAGAGCAGGGTGCTGACGTCAACGCCCGCAACACCATTGGCTGGACGCCGCTGATGGTCGCCGAAGGCGTCTTCGTGGCGAATACCGAAAAGGCGTGGCCGGAGACGGTGGCGCTGCTGCGTGAACTCGGCGGAGAAACGGTGGAACGACGATGACCAAGAGACAACTGGGAAGCCTGACCGCTGCGCTCGCCTGCGCGGCGCTCGTCGCCGCGGCGACGCCGGGAACGGTGGCGGTGGAGGCGGCGGACAACGACGGCGTCATTCGCGGCATCGTCACCAGCGCCAACGGTCCCGAGGCCGGCGTCTGGGTGATTGCCGAGACCGACGACCTCGAGACGGTGTTCCGCAAGATCGTCGTCACCGACGACGACGGGCAGTACGTCCTGCCGGAACTCCCGGACGCGACCTTCGACGTCTGGGTCCGGGGCTATGGCCTCGTCGACTCCGAGCCGGTCGCCGGGCTTCCCGACCAGGAGCTCGACCTGACCGCGGCGGTAGCGGGGACGCCGCAGGAGGCGGCCCAGGTCTACCCCTCCAACTATTGGCTGTCGCTGATCAACCTGCCCGCCTCGCACGAGTTCCCCGGCACCGGCCCCGACGGCAACGGCATCAACCCGCTGATGGGTAGCCAGAGCGAGTGGATCAACAACCTGAAAGGCTGCCAGCGCTGCCACCAGGTGGGCAGCAAGCGCACCCGGGAGATCCCGGACGTCGAGGACTTCGACTCGGCCCGCTCCGCCTGGGACGACCGGGTGCAGCGCGGGCAGCGCGGCTCGCTGATGAACAGCTTTGTCACTCGTTTCGGCCGCGACGCCGGCCTCGACATGCTGGTGGACTGGACCGATCGCATCGCCGCCGGCGAGGCGCCCCCGGCTCCGCCGCGGCCGCAGGGCATCGAGCGCAACGTCGTGCTCACGATGTGGAACTGGGGCGACAACGTCGCCTTCGTCCACGACGAGATCGCGACCGACAAGCGCAACCCGCGCGTCAACGCGAACGGCCCGCTCTACGGCGTCGACATCGGCAACGACTTCCTGCTGGTGACCGACACGGTCGAGCACAGCTCGAAGATGATCAAGATCCCGCTGCGCGAGAACGACCCCCGCGGTGCCGTCGATGTTCACCACCGAGGGCTTCAAGCCGTGGCGCGACTTCGGCGCGGAGGCGGTCTGGAACGATCCCGCCAACCCGCACAACCCGATGATCGACGCCGAGGGGCGCGTCTGGCTCACGACCCGAGTCCGGCATCCGAACAACCCCGACTGGTGCCGTGAAGGGTCCGACAACGCCTACGCGCGGTACTTCCCCATCGACCGGGCCGGCCGCCACACCGGCTACTACGATCCGGAGACGGAAGACTTCGTGCTGATCGGCACCTGCTACGGGACGCACCATCTGCAGTTCGCCGAGGACGCCAACGACACGCTCTACTTCAGCGGCGGCGGCGCCGTCATCGGCTGGCTCGACACGAAGCTCTACGACGAGACCGGCGACGAGCAGCTCGCGCAGGGCTGGTGCCCGACCGTCATCGACACCAACGGCGACGGCGCCATCACCAAGCCGTGGAACGAGCCCGCCCCGCGCGGCAGCCGCGAGGAGCCCGCGTTCGACCAGGCCCTCGACACGCGCGTCGTGGTCGGCGCCTACGGCGTCATCGCCAACCCGCTCGACGACGCGGTCTGGATCGTCTCCGACGACTTCCCCGGCCGGATGCTGCGCCTCGAGCGCGGCGACAGCCCGCCGGAGACCTGCATCAGCGAGCTGTACACCGTGCCGGTCGAGCAGGGCTACCGCACCCGCGGCCTCGACGTCGACCGCAACGGCGTGCTCTGGACGGCGCTGGCCGGCAGCAGTCACTTCGCCTCCTTCGACCGGAGCAGGTGCGCCGTCTTCGGCGGCCCCGAGGTGCGCGCCGGACGGCAGTGCGACGAGGGCTGGTCGCTCTACAAAGGTGCCGGGCCCGAACTTCGGGAACACCGACATCGGGACCGACTTCCACTATTACAACTGGGTCGACCAGTTCAACACCCTCGGCCTCGGCGAGAACATCCCGATCGCCAACGGGTCGAGCTCCGACTCGCTGCTGGCCCTCGACCCGCAGACCGGCGAGTGGGTGACCATCCTGCGCGTCCCCTATCCGCAGGGGTTCCACAGCCGCGGCGTGGACGGACGGATCGACGATCCCGACGCCGGCTGGAAGGGGCGCGGCGTCTACGCCACCTATGGCGCCGACGCGGCGTGGCACGTCGAGGGCGGACCCGGTGGAGCCGGGGAACCTCGTGAAGTTCCAGATCCGGCCGGACCCGCTGGCGCACTGAGGGCGGCAACGGCAGCTCGTGGGCTGCCCGTCCGGCATCCGCGCCGGGCGGGCGCTCGTCGGCATCCACGCACTCACCGGATCGGGAACCGGCACAATCGGAGGCAACGATGCGCAAGTGGCAGATTCTCGCTTTCGTCGGGTTCACGTTCGGAATCATCGGCAGCGGCTGGGCCATCGCCGAGCAGCAGCGCGCCGCCTCCCAGGTCTACGAGCTGCGCGTCTACAAGACGATGCTGGGCCAGCGGGAGGCGCTGGCGAAGCGGTTCGGCGACCACACCGCCGCGATGTTCGAGCGGGCCGGCATGACCAACGTCGGCTACTGGAACGCGGTGACCGGCGACGACGTCGAGGACACGTTCGTCTACCTGCTCGCGTATCCGTCCCGCGAGGCGCGCGACGAGATGTGGCGGGAGCTGGGCACCTTCGAGGACTTCCAGGAGATCATCATCGCGGTCGAGCGGGACGAGGAGCGCAAGCTGGTCGACAGCATCGACGCGCGGATCCTGGAGCCGACGTCGTACTCCGCGCTGAAGTAGCCGGGACCGCCGCCGAACTGACATTCCACGGCCGTGATGACCCTGCAATTCCGTACATCGGGTCCCGGATTGCAGGGTATTCCCAAGATCCCGCGGAGCAATCGTCGCCCCCCGCCTCCGCCAGTTGCCCGCCGTCGCCTTGATCAGGCCGCGGCAGTTCAGCGGGGATCGTGTCGGCTGGCAATCGAATACGGCACCCGAACGCCCGGATCGTCGGCCGGGAAGTCCTTCGTGTTGCGCGTGACCAGGACGCCGCCGATGCGGCGGGCGCTGGCCCAGATGATGGCGTCGGGCAGGCGGATCCGATGCTCGCGCCGGATCGCCACGGCCAGCTCGCTCACATCATCGTCGATCGGTACGCGGGTGAAGCCGGACAGGAACCACCGGAGGCGTGCCGTCTCCGGGTCATCCTCTGCACCGACCATCACCTCCATCCACGTGATGGCGCTTATCGCCGGGTCGTGGTGCCGCGAGAGCTCGTCACGAGCCGCCTCGATGCCGTCGAGATAGTCGATCAGGATATTCGTGTCGATGAGGGCGCGCATTCTTCACGACCACTCGCGCCGGAGACGGCGCTCGTACCGCAGGCCGTCCACGTTGTGGTCCCGCCAGATCCCGAACGCGTCTTCACGGTCGCCCACATGCCGCGCATCCAGGTAGTTCGCAACCGCGCGCCGGATGAGTTCGGCGCGCGACACGCCTTCGCGCCGACAGACGTCAGCCAGTTGGCGCACTTGCTCCTCGGGAAGCTCTATGATCGTTCGCATGGCGTATGATGCCGATATATGATGACCATATTAGCCGCTGACCGCGGCGTGCGGCAAGCCTCCGGGCGGCGCTCGCGAAGTAGAGGCGCGCCTATAATGTGAGGCCTTCTGCCGGGCGGCTCGCTTCACCGACCTGGTGCGGCGCGGCCTGCCCGTTGGGTGGAGGTGGCTCATGAATGCGGAGCGACTGGCGGTGGCGGGATCGCGGGCCTGGGTGGTGTGGCTCCGGACGATCCTCGGGGCGGTGGCGGCCAACCTCGTCCTGCGCGCGGCGGCGCTTGCCGTCTTCGACATCCCGCCCGAGTTCGAGCCGTTGGCGGTCGCAGGACCGACGGTCTTCCTGACGGTGGTGGGAGTCGCCGCCGGGCTGGGGGTCGCCCTGGCCGTCGACAAGCGGTCCCCGCGTCCGGTCCCGTTGTTCCAGCGGATCGTCCTCGCCGCGCTGCTCCTCTCGCTCGTCCCGGACCTCTGGATGCTCACCAACAGCGGCGGCGAGGCGTTTCCGGGCGCCACCGTTCCCGCCGTGGTGACCCTGATGGTGCAGCACGTGGCGGCGGCCGCTGTCGTGCTGTGGAGCGTGACACACCCACTCGGCGCGGCCTCCTGAGTTCCGCCGCGGCGCTCCGCGCGGCTCGGGCGGGGGTGGCGCCAATCACAACGGCGGACCGTTCCGTTCGGACCGGCACCGCCCTGTATGATGAATCCCGTCGAAAGAGAACGCTGGCCACAGCGGCGCTGACGAACGCGGAGACGAAGGCAATGGCAGACAGCAGGACGGCACGCATTTTCCACCGGCAGTACGTCGGCGCTCTGGTTCTGGTCCTGGCGCTCGTCGGCTCCGGCACGGCGGCGGCCCAGCAGGGCGTGAGCGGCGAATGGCGCGTCCACGGCGGCGACGCCGGCTTCACGCGCTACGCGGCGCTGGATCAGATCGACGCGGAGACGGTGGGCGATCTGCAGATCGCCTGGCGGCGCGAAGCGGTCGACACATCGCTCCGGGAGCGGTGGCCGGAGTTGCGCTACTCGAACCAGCTCCGCGCGACGCCGATCATGGTCGACGGCGTGCTCTACGCCTCGAACGGCATCGGCCTGGTGGAGGCCTTCGACCCGGGCACGGGCGAGACCATCTGGGTGCAGGACGCCGAGTTCCTCGGCGACGAGACGCCGCGCGGCGCGCCGAACCGGGGCGTCGCCTGGTGGGAGTCGGACGACGACCGGCGCATCTACGCGATTCGCCCGCCGTACCTGATGGCGGTCGACGCCGGGACGGGCCGGCTGATCGACGCGTTCGGCGACGCGGGCCTGGTCGACCTGAGCTACGACGCCGCGACCGGCTATTCGGGCACGTCGCCACCGCTGGTTGTCAAGGACGTCGTGATCCTCGGCAGCGCGATGGCCGACCATCCGTTCACCAAGGAGCAGCATCCCGGCGACGTGCGCGCCTACGACGTGCGCACCGGCGCGCTGCGCTGGACCTGGAGCCCGATTCCGCGGGCGGGCGAGCCGGGCGTCGAGACGTGGCTCGACGACTCCTGGGAGTACTCGGGATGGCGAACGTCTGGACGATGTTCAGCGCCGACCTCGAGCTCGGCTACGTCTATCTGCCGACCGGCGCCCCGACCAACGACATGTACGGCGGGCACCGCCCGGGCAACAACCTGTACGCGCAACAGCCTGGTCTGCGTCGACGCCGAGACCGGCGAGCGGTCTGGCACTTCCAGACGGTGCACCACGACCTCTGGGACTACGACAACAACGTCGCGCCGATCCTGATGGACATCACCGTCGACGGCCGCGAGATCAAGGCGGTGGTACAGCTCACGAAGCAGGCGATCGCCTACACGTTCGACAGGGTCACCGGCGAGCCGGTCTGGCCGATCGTCGAGCGCCCGGTGCCCGGCTCGACACGCCGGGCGAGTGGATCTCGCCGACGCAGCCGTTCCCGACGAAGCCGCTGCCGTTCGATCGGCACGGCATCACGACGACGACCTGATCGACTTCACGCCGGAGCTCGCGGCGAGGCGATCGAGATCGTCGAGCCGTACATCCTCGGCGAGATCTTCACGCCGCCGTCGATCCGCGGCGACGACGCGACCGACACGAAGGGGACGCTGCAGCTCCCCGGCTCGGTCGGCGGGGCCGAATGGGGCGGCGCGGTTCGATCCGAGACCGGCATGCTCTACGTGCCGTCGGTCACCGGCGCGTTCGCGGCCGACCTGACGCCGGCAACCCGACCGCATGAACGTGCGCTACACGCGCGGCACCCGCGCGTTCCCCAACGGGCCGCAGGGGCTGCCGCTGACCAAGCCGCCCCTACGGCCGCATCACCGCCATCGACATGAACACCGGCGAGCACGTCTGGATGGTCCCCAACGGCGACGGGCCGCGGAACCATCCGGCGATCGCGCACCTCGACCTGCCGCCGCTCGGGCAGCCGGGCCGCTCGATGACGCTGCTCACGAAGACGCTGCTCTTCGTCAGCGAGGGCGACCCGATCATGGTCCGCACGCCGCCGGGCGCCGGCCCCGACGCCGGCCGCAAGGGCTTCCGGGCGTTCGACAAGGAGACGGGCGAGGTGGTCTGGGAGACCGAGTTCCCGGCCGGCACCAACGGCTCGCCCGATCACCTACCTGCACGAGGGCAAGCAGTACATCGTGCTGCCGATCGGGTCGCTCCGGCATCCCGGCGAGTGGGTTGCGCTGGCGTTACCGTAAGCCGGTCAGAACCGGAACAGCCGGTTGAACTTGACGACGAAGCCGCGGTTGCGCAGGTCCCAGCCCCGGTCGGGCCGCAAGCCGCCGGTGACGTCGCGGTCGTCGGTGTAGACCACGAACAGCTCGCTGCCCGGGCTGTACTCCCACCGCAGGCGCAGGTTGCTGCCGAACGAGTTGCTGGCCGAGTTGTACTGCAGGAGCCCGCTGAAGAACATGCGCGGGTTGAACGCGTAGTTGACCCGCGTCACCGCCAGGTTCGTCTGGAACGTCCCGTACGGCGTGTCGATCCAGTTGAACGAGACCGTCGGCTCCACCGACATCTGCGGCAGCACCGCGATGCGGCCCTGGCTGAGCTCCACCGTCGTCAGGTCGCCGCCGAAGAAGGCGCCCCGCTCACCGCCACCGTCCCGTTGATGCGGCGTTGCTGGCCGATGGAGTACGGAAACGTGGACGTCGGCGAAGCTGTAGCCTCCCGCCGGGATCGAGAATCCGGCACCGGGAGGAACGGAACGGCTGGACCAGCAACTCGTAGCTGTCGGTCGCCGTCAGAGTCAGCCGGTCGCTGGACTCGAACTCGGTCTGGAACGCCACGATGTTCTGGCGCGTCTCCAGGTGGTTCTCGTCGGCCGTCAGGATGTAGTCGATGCTGCCTTCCAGGCTGAACTGCCGGACGCTCTCGATCGACTGCGGCCGGGGGCTGAATCGTCCCGACGTGTAGGTGCGCCGGAAGTTGTCGCGCCGCAGGAAGCCCACCTCCGGGCAGGAAGTTGTCCTCCACCACGAGGTGATCCGCCTGGAATCCGTAGCGGTCGGCCGCGTACTCGAACTTGCCCTGGTAGCTCAGGTCCTTGCCCCGGTACTCGGGGCCGGGGACTGGGTCCGGGCAATGTAGGTGATCAGCTGACGTTCTCGAAGAAGGCGAAGGTGCCGTCGACGCCGTAGGCCTGGCTGGAGCCCGGGGGCCACCCGGGAGATCGAGCGGTTGGTGAACATCGCGCCGACCGAGCTGCGCCGCAGGATGTCGCGCCGGAGGCGGACGACGAGAAATTGGTCGGCTTGGAGTCCGAGACCGTCTCGTCGCCGGCATGGATGTTCAGCAGCCCGACGTCGAACCTTCCACCTTGCCGGTGACCCGCGCGCCGCCCGACGATCGGCACCACGCGGCCCTGCTCCAGCCCGATCTTCCGGCTGTAGAAGAGCTGCGGCACGTTGGCGTCGCCGAAGACGCCGGCGACCGGATTACGGGCCACACTGGCGGCGCGCGTGACGCCGCCGCGCGCGAAACCGAAGATGCCCCGCCCTTCGAGGAAGAACTCCCGCTTCTCCGGAAAGAAGAGCGGAGAAGCGGGTCAGGTTCACCTGCCGCTCGTCCACCTCGACCTGGGCGAAGTCCGTGTTCCAGGTGAAGTCCGCGGTCAGGTTCTGGGTGATGCCGTACTTGACGTCGATGCCGCCGTCGGCGCTGCCCTCGTTGATCTTCACCGGGGTCGCGGCCATGTCCGTGGTCAAGCCGCCGATGGCATATGGCTTGAGCTCGAGGTTGCGGCCCGCCGATGGAGGCTCAATGCCAACCAGCGAGCCGGCTTGCGAGACGCGGAAGATCCCGCGAGCACCGCCGCCGGATCCGGACGCGACGGGCAACCGCGTCAGATAGGCCCATTCGTTCTTGCGCCGGATGGCGCGGCGGAGCTGAATGCCCCAGATATGAGGGCGGCTCCGAGCGGTAGCGCAGGGTCTTGAACGGGATCTCCATCTCGACCGTCCAGCCGACCGTCGAAGCGGCCGGTCCGCACGTCCCAGACCGGGTTCCAGTCGACGTTCGGATTGCCCTCGTTCGTGAACTGCGCGTCTGCGCGGGCTCCGAGCGGATTCGTGTAGAAGATGACTCCGTTGCGGCGGTCGTAAAACGTATCGAACAGCACGGTGAACGTGTCGTTCTGGCGGAGCTGGGTGGTGTCGCGGCGCATCTCGTTGGCCACCCACTGGCTCTCGGGCGCCGAGTCCCAGACCCGCGCGGAGACGTAGACGTTCGTTTCGTCGAACATGATCCACGCCTCCGTCCGCTCGGTCGCGGGCGCGCCGCTGTCGGGCAACTGCTGGATGAAGCCCGTGATGGCCGGCACCGCTCCATAGACCGGTTCATCGAGCACGCCGTCCAGACGGAGACCCTCGTCGAGGCGGATTGCGCGGACCGTCGCGCGTCCCTGTTCGTCGCGGGTCATCACGGCCGGAGCGACGGGTGCCGGGGGACCGTCGATGAGAGCCGCCTCGATCACGGCGCCTGCGGAGGGGACCGCCGGCACGTCGGCAGACCCTGTCGGCTGGGGTTGAGCCTGGGCCGCGGCCACGGACGCGGTGACGAGCGCCGCGGCGAGAAATCCTGGCCTGATGCGCTTCATCGGGAGTACGCGCGTTGCCTCAGCGGTGACGGCCGCGGAGGGTTTCGTCTATCGCGGACTCGCCCAGGCGCCGCTGGGCGGCACCGTAGCGGGCTACTGCTCGACCACCGGCTCCCGCGCGCCGAGGGCGCGCAGCAGATCCGCGGTGCTCTCCGAGGGTGCGTTGGCGTTGCCGTACTCGACCAGATAGAGCGGCGTGCGGCCGCGGTTGTCTTCGGCGTTGACGTCGGCGCCATGGTCGACGAGGAGCTGGATGACCCCGTCCTCCCACATCGCGGCCGCTCCGTGGAGAGCGGTGCTGCCGGCCGGCGTGCTGGCCTTGACGCCGGCGCCCACCTCGATGAGCAGGGACACTGTCTCCTCGACCCGGTGGTCGGGCGGGCGACGCGCGTCGTTCTCGCCGAGCCCGGAGGCGACCATGAGCGGCGTCGTGCCGAAGGCATTGGCCACGAACGGATCGGCCCCGGCGTCGAGCAGCACGCGCATCATCTGCAGGTTGGCATCCCGGGCCGCGAGCCAGAACGGCGTCGCCCCCTTGTACGGCGCCCGCGAGATGTAGTCGCCGCGCAGAGCCGGCACGCGATCGGCGAACCGGGCGTCGACGTACGGCGCCGGCCGCGATGAGCGCCGCGGCGAGGTTTGGCCGGTTGGTCTCGACCGCCGCGTGCACCGCGGTGCGGCCACGCCGGTCCGCGGCGTTCACGTCGGCTCCGCGCTCGATGAGGTAGTGCGCCGTCTCTTCGTGACCGCTGGCGTACGGAATGATCCGCCAGTCGATGCCGGCCAGCGCGTCGGTGCTGCGGCTGGCGACGAGCAGAGGGGTGCTGCCGTCGATGGCCCGCGCTTCGAGTTCGGCGCCAGCCTCCAGAAGAAGCTGCACGGTCTCGAGGTCGCCGGCCCGCGCCGCGAACATGAGCGCCGTGAACCGGCCGGTGGTGCGTACGCGCACGCCGCCGCCCGACTCCAGCAGTCGGCGCGCCACGTCGGCATGACCGCCCGCGGCGGCCCACATCAGCGCGGTCTGGCCCCGCTCGTGCTCGGCGAACCGGGCGTCCGCGCCGCGCTCCAGCAGCCGCGCGACGAGGGTCCCCAGCCCGTGCTGCGCCGCGGTCATCAGCACCGTCTCGCCGGTTGGGAGCCGCGTGTCGGGATCGGCGCCGGCATCGATGAGCGCAGAACGAAAAGCACGTCGACGTGGAGGAGACGACGAGTGCGAGATCGATCTCAGAGCGGCGGGATGCCGAGATCGTTGACGGCGTCGACGTCGGCGCCGGCCGCGATCAGCCGGCCGGCAGTCTCTCCGTCGTTCCAGTGCGCGGCCCAGTGCAACGCGGTGGCGCCGTCCGGCTGCGTCGCGGTGGCGCCGGCGCCGGCGCCGGCGTCGACCAGCGCGCGGACCGCTTCCCAGTCCTGGCGCTCGGCCGCCTCGACGACGCGCAGGTCATCGTCGGCGCCCACCGCCAGCGCGGGCACGCCGGAAACCGCGAAAAGGAAGAGGGCGGCCAGGAGCCAGACCCGGTGGTAGCTGCGCATCAGATCTGTCTCCGTTCCCACGTGCGGACCCCGACGCCCAGGAAAACGATTCGGGTTCTATACATCCGACAGCTCGTGCAGCGCCCCGGTGCTGTCGCCGATCGTCTCCAGATGGACGCCCAGCTTGCCGAGCAGGCTCATGAACAGGTTCGTCACCGGCGGATCGTCGTCGTAGCTGATGTGCCGCCCGCCCTTGAGCGTGCCGGTGCCGCCGCCCGCCACCACCATCGGCAGCTTGTGATGGTTGTGCACGTTCCCGTTGCTCATCCCGGCGCCATACAGGACCATGGCGTGGTCGAGCAGCGAGCCGTCGCCGTCCTCGGTCGCGTCGAGGCGTTCGAGGTAGTACGAGAACAGCTCCACGTGATGGGTGTTGACCTTGATCAGCTTCTCGACCTTCTCCTGGTCGCCGCCGTGGTGCGACGGGGGTGGTGGGCGTCCGAGACGTCGATCTCCGGATAGGCGCGGTTACTCGTCTCGTGAGCCACCATGAAGGTGATGATGCGGGTCAGGTCGGCCTGGTAGGCCAAGACCTGCAGGTCGAACATCAGCTTCGCGTGCTCGCTGAACGCGCCCGGGGATGCCGGCCGGCTGTTCCATCGCCACCGACAGGTCGGTCAGCCCCTGCTGCTCGGCCATCCGAATGCGGCGCTCGACGTCGCGAATCGCTTCCGTGTACTCGTCGAGCTTGCCGCGGTCCCGTGCGCCGAGCTTGCTGCGCAGCCGGGCGAGCTTCTCGGCGACGGCGTCGAGAATCGTGCCGTCCTCCTCCATCCGCGCCAGCCGCGCCGCGGCGTCGGTCGTACCGCTACCGCCGAACAGCCGCTCGAAGACCACCCGCGGATTGTTCTCCATCGGCAACGGAGTGGTCTCCCCCAGCCAGTTGAGGGTGTTGGCGTAGACGCAACTGTAGCCGGGGTCGCAGGCGCCGAGCGGCTCCTTCGAATCGAGCGACAGCTCCAGCGAGGCGAGCTGGGTCTCGTTCTCCAGCGCCCGCGCCGCGATCTGGTCCATCGAGATGCCGGCGCGGATGTCGGCGCCGGCGGTCTTCTTCGGATGGACACCGGTCAGGAACGCCCCGGCCGCGCGGGCATGGTCGCCGGCGCCCTCGCCGGGCAGTGCGTCGCCGTGCTTGTTGGCGAGCCCGCTCACGACGGTCAGTCGATCGCGGTACGGCGCTAGCGACTGCATGACCGGCTTCATGTCGAAAGCCTTGCCGGTCGCATCGGGCGTCCACTCCTCCATGACGATGCCGTTCGGCACGTAGACCACGCCGAGCCGCTTGACCGGCGCGGCGGCCGAGACGCGGAGCGGCGTGAACGCCGGCACCATGCCGTCGAGAAGCGGGCAGCGCCAGCGTCGCGCCGACACCGCGCAGGAACGTCCGTCGTGGCAAATGCGTCTTCGTGATGATCATTGCTCTCGCGCCTTCCTCATCTGAAACGGCGTGCTCTCGACGATACCGAGAATCAGCGACGACCAGCGGTAGTCGTCCGCCTCGGCCTGCCGCACGATGCGCCGAATCCACGGGTGGTCGTAGTACTCCACGCCTCGGCCGAGCGCGTAGGTCAGCAGCTTCTCGGTCACGGTGCCGACGAAGTCCTCGCGGTTGGCGAGCAGCATCTCGCGCACGCTGGCCGGCCCGTTCAGCTCGCGTCCGCTGGGCAGCGTGCCGGAGGTCTCCTCCACGGGAGCTCCCGGTAGCCGCCGATGGCGTCGAAGCTCTCGAGCGCGAAGCCGAGCGGGTCCATGCGGACGTGGCAGCTCGCGCAGACCGGGTCGGTCCGGTGCCGCTCCATCCGCTCGCGGACCGAGCGCGGCCGGCTCTCGGGATTCGACGGGTCGGCCACCGAGTCCGAATCCTCCAGCCCCGGAACGTCGGCCGGCGGCGGCGGCGGCGGCGTCGCGAGAGCTTCTCCAGCGTTGCAGGAAGTAGCAGCACTTTCATCGTTATTCTCATCTCCACACACGCCCCGCTTCATCACCGTATCTGAGGTGGCGGTTGGCGTAGGAGGTCGCGGTCAGGACGCTGCCCTGGCCCAGGATGCCGCGGCGCCGTTCGTCCGGCAGCGTCACACGCCGGAAGTGGTTCCCCGCGACGTTCGGAACCCCGTAGTGCTTCGCGAGCCGCTCGTTGACGAAGGTGTAGTCGGAGGTCAGGACCTCGATGACGCTGCGGTCTTCCTTGATCTGGCTCTCGAACCAGAGCTCGGTCTCGCGGGTGAACGCCTCGCGCAGATTCCCGTCGAACTCCGGGAACGCGACCGGATCCGGCTTTGACCGACCGCATGTTCCGCAGGAACAGCCACTGGCCGGCGAAGTTGTCCACCAGGGCACTCGCCTTCGGATCGACCAGCATCCGCCGCACCTCGGCTCTGAGCACGCCTTCGTCGCGCAGCGCCCCGCGCGCCGCCACGTCCAGCAGCTCGTCGTCCGGAATGCTGCTCCAGAGGAAGAACGACAAGCGCGACGCCAGCTCCAGGTCGGAGAGGCGGTACGGCGCACCCGGCGCCGCATCCGGCGGGTCGTGCTCGATGCGGAACAGGAACTCCGGGTCGACCAGGATGGCGCGCAGTGCGAACTCG